TTTTTTTTTTTTTTTGGCCTCATCAAACTAGATGTATTTCGCAAAACTGCAATGGAAACAGTGTTTTCATATCACACAAGTCACAAGATCAACAGGTGGATGTTACTACTGGCAAAAACCACAAAAAAGATGACAGGAAGTGGTATGAGGATGACGGCTTGTTTTTGTTATTTTCAATGTGCAGCTGGCTCCACCAGCGCTCTCAAAGCATCGCACAGTTCATTGAAAGTTGTGTGTCATTCGAATCCATAGCTCTTCTGTAAAATCACAACAATTTCTGTAAAACGCATCTCATGTATATATCACTGCCATGATGACTCATGGTGTGAACAAGCTTATTCATGTGTGATTTCAATTTAATGTCTTATTTATTGGAAACACAATTGTGAAATTGTGGTTTTTTTTTCAGCTTTAGTGGAAAATAGATTTGTGTACATTAGTGATGGAAATGCAACTAGTGCCACCAACTGCACCACTTTGAAACCTATCAATAGCATTGATTGTAAAAATTATTACTCTGCTTCCCCTTTTACTTTTTTGCTGAATAATAAATGAAGACTTCACTTTAAAGTCTATAATATCATGGAATTTATTAATGTGGATGTGCCAATGTTTGCATCCACATGTAAACATGGGTACAAGCTAAATTAGCTCTACCAAGCTAATTTAGCTCTTCAACCAAAATCAGTTTATAAAACCTTTCCAATGATGTTAACAGTTAACCTCTCTGTCTGTCAACTCAAATTAGTTTATGTTGTGTTCCCTTTTCTCCAACCAAGCCGGTTCAATCGAGATCCTAAGCTGGTACTACCCATATATTCATCAGTTGTGCCAGTGGGAACAGCTACACCTGGCAGATTCAAGGTGGCAATAGCTTTGTTTTCATACCTTTAAACTCCAAACTCTAGATAAAGGTGTAATTGTGAATATGTAGCAGGTAACACTGGAGGTATCATGAAATATTTTCCCCAAAAAGTATTTAGGTTTCATGTTAAGCTGGACTTTCGCAGCACAACAGACACGACAACACGATTTTGTTGACTAAGTATCTTTCTGAGAACAGAGACATCATGCGCAGGCTTCAGTAAACAACAGGAAGGAGCTCTTCACATGCTCTCAGCAGAGAAGTCTTAATCTAAGAGTGAAAACTTCAAAGAATAGAAAGACTTCAAAGTAAGATATGTGATTTGTTTTCTGCTGCAGATGTCCAGCCAGCAGAGCAATCTTTTAACGTTGACGGAAAAGATGAATCTCCCTGATATGTGGGAGATACTTTACTTCTTGGCATGAGACACACAAGTTATCAGCTGCAGCAATACTGAAATCATTCGCAATAAATGCATTTCATAAACTCCACCACAAACAAGCGACAGAAAGCAGGGATGTTGGTGACAGATGAAAGAGAGAGAAAGCCAACGGTTCCTATGTAGTAGCTTAGGTGTTAAATGGCACAAGTGAACCTGGGTGGGCAAAAAATGATGCATTTCTTTATATACAACATTGGAATTATATGCTTGTTTAGAAAACTGTCTTATTCTGCTGTTCTGTACTGCTGAATTTCTCCAATTTGATAGAAATGGCAAGGGTGAAACAGAGGACTAAACAGGACAGACAAACTCTGGAAATCCAGTTTCTGCATTTCAGCTATGCAGCTTTGTGCTACAACTGCAACACTATTTTGAGTGTCATTGCCAATTTTTGCTATCAAGCAGATAACATGTAGTGACAGCAACTGCATCAGAGTTTGAATACGCATTCACTTCTCCTCAAACGAACTGGACTTTCTAGACAAATGTCCTAGAGTTCAATTAAAGCAGACTAAACAGGCCTGATGCGGATGCACACTAAGGCTTGGTTCAGATGAAGTGAACTTTGTTGTAGTTTGAATGCATATGAGGATGCCAAGTGGAACGGAGACCGCTCCAAAATCAGGAAGCAGGCCAAAGGGCCCAGCATGTTCAGTCCACGTCCTTGGACATTTGCCCCTCAAAACTATTGTTCCTGCTCTGACTGATAAACCAGATTCTGATTCTGAGAATCAATTTCGACAGTTTGGCTTGACTATGCAGAGCTGTTCAAGTGCAGGGCATTCTGGGAAAATACAACCAAAACAAACACGTTTGTCTACCACTAGTTGGAGAAATGACTTGTGCTGAGCCCGTTGTTGAAGAGTGTTTGGCACATTTGCCAAAGACAAAAGAGAAATTCTACAACCACTAAAGTCTGATGTCACTGTGAAGAAGGAAGTTGTGCTCAAAAATTTTCCTGTTGTTTCCTTCAGTGGCTCTTGGTGCAGCGCCACCACAGGTGAGGAGGTAAATAGGTTGCTCAGAGGGTTTGGTTTGTTTGACACATTTCAGTGTAAAAGCGAACTTCAGCAGCTGAAACTGTAGCAAACGTTGCAATTTTGGTCCCCAGACCGAACCGAGTCTATCAAACCGAGGTTTGAAAAAGCCCTAACTTAGATTACAATTATAGCAAACATTAGCTGAGAGATTATTTCAGGTACTTACCTCGGTTTACTAGACTAATTTTAGCCCTTCTTATAAAAATCAAAGTGATATTTTGTTCTCTTTGGCTTCATAGCAGCAGCTCTATCTGCAGTACAACTGGTACTCTGAGCTTCCTGATTTCCTCCAAACAGTCTCATCCCTTTGTTAGTCTCAGTCACATGGTTTTGGTGTCTCCACAAAGCTTCACAATATTTTCCTCTGTATGTCTGAACCCAGGGGCGTGCAAAGAGAACAGCAGGTGCCCAGTCCTGAGGGGATTCTGTGTTCAGCCTTAGACAACAACTGTGATGGAAACGTGTGTTAGTGAGGAAGATCAACATGTAGTTGCGCAGTGTGGTACAAAAGCAGAAGCCCAGTGAGATCAGCTTGCCAATAAGGAGACAGTATTGAATCCTGAGCTGAAACCTACAAACCATATTTTGATCTCACACTTGTTTTTTTTTGTTTTTTTTTTACTTGATCGGCAACAGCAAAGCAGAAAGCAAAGCAACGATTTCCAGCCTCTACCACCCTTTTCTTCTGTTACTATTGAAATGCAACTCAACTGTCTGGATTAGGACCTCAACAATTCGCCAGATCAGATTGTCATTCACCAATTGCTGGTGTCCATCCTGTTTGAGGGCAATCAAAGTGGAAGTAGTTTTCTCAAATGAAACAGAATTTTTCTTGCCTACAGATGGCTACAAATCATATTAGTGGGCCATGTTTGACAGTGACTGCCAATAAAGCATTCCAATATTTCCCCACAGAAACACACAAGGACTGTTACTTATTTATTGCAGCCAATTTCAGCTTCATGCGTCATGGCGGCTTAAGCCGTTTTAGCCTCTCCTATAGCAATTTTGTGGAGATGCGAAGCAAGATAAAAAAAAGAAATTTGTAAATCTAAAGTTGCTCAATTTTTACATTACTTACCAGTTTTTCAAACTAAATGTGTCATGAATAATTATCTAGTTATGACTAGATGCCCTCAGTCATGACTCATTGAGGGTGTCTCAGTCATGAGCCTGTCTAAATCAGGCTCATGGGCAGAACTACCCATAATGCTCTTTGGTGATTATTGGATTCTGACAGAACATCCAAAAGCAGCAGTGTATCAGTGTTTTATCTTCCTCTCTGAATAATCAAAAATATTAGTTCTTGTGCCAATTTCCCCAACATTTGCATAAGGCAGAGGTCACCAGACTTTAGACTAGCTCACTGTTGCTTCCTGCTGTTCTGTGCATAATGAATACCAACAGATATCATCTCCTCTGATTCAATTATAAACATTTCCATTTAAAAATCAACAGAGTAAAGGCTGGCAATTAAACCAATTTAGGATCTGATAAGAGTTTGCCTCTTTAAATGCCACAGTTGCATGACTTTTTTTTTTTTTTTTCCATCTACTCTTGATTAGAAATACTCCCAGTGGTGCACAACGTTACATTCTGAGATGAAATTTGCCTCATTTTTGTGTAAAACGCTAAGCCTGGTATTTCGGTAAGTTCGATCAAGAGTAGTTCCTATGCAAAAATGTTTTGTTTCGGATGTAAGTTGTGGGCAGCATAATTGTTTTTGCACAAAGGTATGCAATTATATGTGTATACTTAAAAACCTAAGTCCGTTCCATTGTCTAGCGCATGCTGTGTAATTGACGTCCCCAGAGCTCATACACAACAGGCAGCTTTGGTCCCCACATCTTTTTTAAATGCCACAGTTTGTTGTTTCTAAAGAGAGATGCATACAAAAATTTCCTGTAGCACTAGCTGAGTGCTTCCTTTTGTTTTTATTCTCAATCAATGCTGAAACACAAAATATTACTAAGTCTCCAGCATAACAGAGGAAAGTTGCTTTATATATATATATATATATATATATATATATATATCTTAAGTCTTTAGAGGTGTCTTGAAAAGTCACAAAATATAACGATAAAGTTTATAAGTGCCTCTTTCCTCCAGCCGCTCTTAGCCCTCCCGCTCATCCCCAAACTTGGCCGTGCCTCTCCACCTCTTGATTCCACCCAGTTTGTTGGAAATTTTCAAAATTTGGGTTTACGCTTTCACAGGGGAATAAGTTTAGACAATACAGAAACTGTCTGCTCTGATGACTATTCCCTCAGATGAGCAGGTTAAACTCTCGGAGATGCTCCAGCAGCAGCACAGCCTGACCTATACTTTCTGATTATCATTTTCAGCTGACTTCATATTCAACTCATACGTATTTGTTCACAAAGGGCATCTGTAGACTGAGGTTACAACAAAAACTTTCTCTTGTCCTGATGCAGCAGCAGATTGTCCACATTACACCCTTCATCTCAGTAAACACACATTAAAATGGGAGTGTAATACAAGTAACACAAACGCATCACACGCTCAAAAAGACTTTACGCTTCAATAAATGTGATTTATTGTGTGTGTATTACCACCCACACCACCATACACTGCAAGGCAAGGAATAGCCTTGAAGGAATAACCTTTTCCCCAGCAGCCTCAGAAAAAAATGAGATGTACATAAAATTTCAATTTGATATAAAGTAATAATTTTTCACTTTGCATTTGCAATGTTTCCTCATAGACAGTTATATAAATAAAAATTAAAACAGAATTCCTCAACTCCATTAAATAAAAAATAAAAAAACCTTTCATCTCATCTCATACCCCAGCAGTCATTCTTTAAAATCCACATTGTTTTTAACCTTGCACTGAAATGGTGCATTAACACATTGCGCGGAGCAACCTTTTCTAAGCTTTTAAATTTCATTTTCGACCAAACATACTTTATTTTTTCTTCTGCTGGAATAATTTTCATTTAGGGAGAATGAAAGGACCTTGAACAACTGTGAAGATGTGAGACAAAAATGTCTACTAATCTTCAACCACAAAATGTCCCAGGTGTTTTTCAGCATCATGTGTATTTGTGTTTCCCAGTGACAAACAGAAGCTCTCATAGACAGACTTCTTATGTATCAGTTTGAAAAATATCAGCGGCCGAGAATCCCTCGAAAGACGTTACCTGCAGCACCCAAACAGGTGCCTTACCGTGGCTGAGAACCATTTGTGTGTGGATGCAATAAACGTGATTAAGTGTGTGCTCAGAGGCGAGGGTCCTGCCCAGGAAAAGAAATGAAGTTATCCACAGTGTGGGAAGAGCTGTAGACACACCGCCGGCTGCTAAAGAGCGGGGAAGAAACAACCTGTTTTCTGTTAGGTTTGTTGGCAGTAAAGAGGCAGAGCTGCTTTGCAACACTGGTTTGAACGGTGCTGGCTATTGCCAAGTAACCATTAGAGAAACATTTCCTCTCTTCCCGTCCAGCGATAATATCTTTGCACGCTGTGAGTGGATCATTAGCAAAGGAGTCCCAGCCATGAATGAAGTCCTGAGCGCATTGTGATGCATTGAGGTGAGCTCTACGGTTGTCATCTGACATTATTTCTCTGCATTCCTGTGACAGAGGAAAAGAGGAATACCCTACAAAAACCCTTCTTAATTAAAATGCTTCTGCATTATTAAATTAAATCCTTTTGGATGAGAAGAGAAAGATCTTAAAGGGTAAATTTCTTCAAATGCATGGGATTGTTATCTGCTTCTTCATAATCTAATGCTGGGTTGAAAAGAAAACTCAATCAAGTTTTTTTTTTTTTTTTTTAATTGGTGGGACTATTTAATCAAGTTAATTGCAGGCACTGTAATTAATTAACTGAAATCACATTTTTAATCAAAAGCCATTGATGAATGAATGAGGAGACATTTTAATTTCCAAAATCCCTTTGCTGCTAAATGAGCTCAACTAAGACATGTGTTGTTTTTAATCTGTCATCTAGATTACTCAAATAATGGTGTTCATATTTTGAATCTATGTAATTAATTAATTGAAAGTAGGGCATCAAAGACCCTGAGTGATTTTTTTTAATCCTGTTGTCCCACATTTAAAAAATTAACAATAAAAATCTGCAGCATCCACTTTAAAGCTCAATATTTATTTCTTTACTTACCAGCGTAAAGAAACTGAATATTTTCTTCATTAGTATTTAGCCCCCCTAACCCCCCAAAAAGTCACCCCCTTTGGCCACCTCTTGTTAAAAAGTCTAGTTCCGCCACTGTTAGCAACTTTCCAAAATGTATTGATAATCTGCCCCTTCACAGATGAAACTCTCACTAAATGTCCACGCGTCATCAAAGCAGCGCCAATAGCGAGCGCGCCTCCCTGCTGTGCCAAATATAAAAGCAGCTGCGCTCCGACTTCCACGCATCGGTTTGGCTTTCCTCAAGCAGCGGCAGCTCACGGATCAGCGCACAGATCGTGATCCTTGCATGCTTCATATTTAAAAGCAGAATGGATTTAAACTTCACGCTCTCGGAGCGCAACCTGGCCGGCTTTGGCGCGCTGGCGCAGCGGCTGTTTGGGAACAAGTCGCTGTCTCCCGTTGGGAACGACACGGGCGCTCCCAGACCGGAGGAAGAAGACCTCGAGGTGAACACCGACATCTACTCCAAGGTGATAGTCACCATCATCTACGTGGCTCTGTTCGCCGTCGGCTCTCTGGGGAACTCCATCACCCTGTACACCCTGCTGACCAAAAAGAGCCTGCAGAACCTCCAGAGCACCGTACACTACCACCTGGCCAGCCTGGCCGTGTCGGACCTGCTCATCCTCGTCCTCTCTATGCCCATCGAGCTCTACAATTTCATCTGGTTCCACCACCCGTGGGTGTTCGGGGACGCCGTGTGCAGGGGCTACTACTTCCTGCGGGACAGCTGCTCCTACGCCACCGCGCTCAACATCGCCAGCCTGAGCGTGGAGCGCTACATGGCCATCTGCCACCCGTTCAAAGCGAAGAGCATCATGTCCCGGAGCCGCACTAAGAAGCTTATCAGCGCCATGTGGATCGCGTCCTTCGCGCTCGCCACTCCGATGCTCTTCATCATGGGCCAAATGACCCGCAACGGGGAGAAGATCTGCACCACCATCGTCTCCGCTGTCACCATGAAGACCGTGCTGCAGGTGGGTGGAGATGGTGTGTGTGTGCGCGCCTGTGTGTGTGTGCTTCCAGCTGCTGGGTGAGAGGGGCTTTTGCGCTTCCGTCTCAGCTTCTGGTCTTTGCGCAGCGAGAAGTATGGAGCCTGAGATATTCACTGCAAATATTTACACATCAGAACTTATAGAATAACCAACTGTGAAAGGACGGAGTGTGTGTTGTGAGAGACGGAGGAATGCGATGATGAAATTTGTGGTTAAACTGTGGAGTGAAGGCTTTACGCACGGCTGTGTCCGATTCCAGTTTGCGATCTGATGTGTGCGGACACAAGACTGCACAGGAATTTACAATGTTATGTAATATGGGTCTATTTTGTTAAAATCTGACATTAACTGTACCATAAATCAGCATTGTTTCAAACTTCATCAACATAAAAAAAACATGAATTTTCTTTTTTCATCTAAAGTGAATAAAAGGATTTAAGGTTAAATCCATCTTTGCTGAGGTGTGATCAAGCTATTTTGTTCGCTTCTAATTAAGGTTGGGCGATAAGGAGTTAAAATTTATTTGTATTTGTTGTAATGATAAAAAGGTATTTAAAACAATGTTCTCTTTGTATACAATATTCTATTGCTTTGCTAAAACAGGCTTCTTCAGGACACCGGTTGCATAAGAAAATCTGAATTTAAGCATCAAGCTTCACGAGCAGAAATTGGCTTTTTGATTAATTATTGGTTTAGAGTTACAGCCTGCGGGTGTTTATTATAATCTTTAAATAAGTCACTTAAGAAATCCTTAATTAATGTTAAAAATAACATATTTAGGGCTGGAGATCTGAAAACCTTTTCTTTTGTAATTTAATTGTTATTTTGTAATTAGCATTCTTAATGCCATGATGAATGGATATCAATGTACATTTTGTCTCTTCTTGATGTAATGAAGCGATATTTTCAACCAGATGGCAAGAGTGTAAACCTCCCATGAGAGGAGTGAGAATTTCTCTAAGAACACAGATGACTGCGTGTCCTGTACATGGAATGGTGGGAATTTTCAAATGACTTATACAATATGAAATTTTAAATTTTAAAATTAAATTAGGAATGCTGCAAACAACAAATAATAACCAAGTTGTTTTGACCAAACAAACAGGTTTGCTCACACATTAGTACACTAAGATCTAAGATATAAGGAGTTTGTAAAGATATCTCAAATTTACTATGTTTTATAAAATCCATTCTTCTTATAAAGAACTCCACTTTAAAAATTTAGGAGGCTTCACTGACCTTTGGGTGGCTTCAGAAGCCACCGAGCTACAGATGTGGCACATAATGAGTTTTTGATTCATGTCTGTCTTCAGCTCTCCTTCTCTTGGTCTAACATTTTTGTCTGTTAAATGCTGCAGCTGCTTCTCCTCCTATCCTCTTTCCTCTTCCTACCATCTTTACATTGCACTGATTTAAAGGCAAGAGATAGTAAATCCTCAATCTACTGTGGTGCTAAGACGTTCAGTAGTTTATAAATTAACAACAGTATTTTAAAATCTATTCTTTGAACTACAGGAGCCAGTGGAGGGACTTTAAAACTGGTGTTATGTGCTCTATCTTCCTGGTTTTAGTCAGAACATCAGCAGCAGCGTTCTGGATCAGCTGCAGCTGGAGGATTGATTTGTGGGACAGACCTATGAAGACGCTGTTGCAGTAATCAATGTGACTAAAGATAAATGCATGGATGAGTTTCTCTAGATCTCACTGAGACATAATTCCTCTAATCCTGGAGATGTTTTTCAGGTGACAGAAGGCCGACTTTGTAACTGTCTTTATATGACTCTGAAGGTTCAGGTCAGAGTCCATCACTACACTCAGATTTCAGGGCTGATCGCTAGTTTCAAGTTGTAATAACCAACTTTTGGTTGTTCTAACCCAAATGTCCGTCACACTGTAATGGAGTCTTTCCGCTGCTTTTGTATCTCTTTGATGTCTTATTTTGTCATTGATGGTGTAAGATTAGCTGAGAAACACTGAATTTTGCTTCGCTAGATTAAAAATTGCCGAGATGACTAGATAAAGTTCTGCCACAGTTTTTTGGGGTTTTTTTGCTGCTCTGTGCCAACTTGCTGTTTGCCTCATCTCCTCATTCCCTCTATCTTGTCTTTGTTCTTCTCCTTCTACTCACCATGCCATCATAATTATCACCAACTGGAGCTGCAGCGTTGCTGAAAGATTGTATTCTAGGTTGCTTTGATTAAATTCAAACATAGAAAAGGCACAAGCATATATTTTCGCTTCACAGATGAAAATCTCTTCCAAAATATTCATTCTACAGAAGAATCAGTGACCAAGACAACCAATACCTTGCACAGAATTTTGTAAGAGCTCATGCGTTTCTGATGTTTGCATGCACTGAGAGGTTGTGCCTGATGGTTTTAGCACCAGAGGCCCTACGCATTTAGCCTCTTTCCACAACAAACAGTAACTTTGAGCGGCGAGACAGTACATGTGTGCCTCACTAGGCTTGTAGATGCTTGGAAAGACAAAGTGCAGAGGGGAGGGAGGAAGATGGAGGATGGTCCTTTGTGGATTAATAGGAGCACAGAGTGAACTCTGCTCAGGGTGATAGTCCAGCCTTCTTGAATTCTTTCTCTGCTTAATCTGCACCGTAAATGGCAAAAATAAATAATGCAGCGGATCGAGAATTCCCTCTGAAAACCAGACTCATGGCTGGCAGACATGCAACACTTGGAAGATGACTATTTTAGTTAAAAACAAAATCCTGACGTTTCCAGAGTTGGCATTTATTAATTATGGAAAAGATAAATATCTATTTGGAATGAACTGCAGTGGGCACATTTCTTGCTTTGTTTGTCTTAGTTTTGTGTAAAATCTCACACAAACATTCATCATTGAATACACAAGGAATCATTTTCATACATAAAATATGTTGGTTTAAAGGGACACTATTATGAAATTTCCAGGCACATTTTGCCTTTTTGTAAAATTAACAAATAACTATTTTATCTACAGTTGTTACAAAAATGCTGTATAAATCAAATATGACATAGAATACTGACTTTGTAATTTAACACCTTTAAATTGGGTCTCCGTCTCTTTAAAATCTCCTGCTGTCTCTGAAACTCTGCCTTCAGGAAGTCATCTTAACATGGCTCCTCTATTAACCCTTTAACAATATTTTTACCAGCTTTGCACTGAGAAGTAGCTCTCATGAATTCGGCAGATGCACGTTTGCACAAGTAATTTGCTGATTGCCGCTGACTAGTCTGAAGGAGCTGAACGGGGGAGGATTGCTCTGGGAAGCTTGGAAACTGGGATCTTGAGGAAGACGGAGCTAGATCCACCTAAGTGTTTTTAAACAGCTGAATGGTTGCCATAGAAATTAAAGGATTTCTCAACATGCACAAAAGAAGCAAGCCAAAACTCCAGGTATGTTTTTGATGAAGTAATAATATTATAACATATTGTAGAGCTCAATAGGGACATGAAATGCGCCTTTAAATTTATGCAATTAAATGTCAGTTAAATAACATTTCAATCAAATATCGTAACAGTGTAACAAAAGGAATGGTAGAAAAACAAAAAAAAGAATCAAAAGACTTTTTTAACAGAAAATGTTGGAGAAATGCTGCCACCATTACAATTGATTAAGTATCGATGCAGAATAATTAAGAAACAAAATCAGCTGTAAAGCAGTGGGAGGACACTAAAAGACAAGTTCTGTAAAATAACACAGCATGTGCAGCTGATATAGTCTGATAACAGAGGCTGGTAGAAGTCAATTTAACTCACACTTTAACACTTCCTGTCTTGCCTGCTGTGGCTGCCTCTTCCAGTAGATGGCACTTGAAGTTACCTGCATATAAAAAGTTGCATCACAGTTCCTAATATGATGAGAATGTGAATCTAGGAAAGGATATGAATATGACATTTTTCTTTTCATTTTTGCTCAGCATCTGCATCCACTGCATGCATGTTGCTTCTTTTTTATTCGTCTCTTTCTGACCTGACAGTCCATGTCCGTCTACTCTAATCTGTAAAGTACTGCATGTGATTCTGTGTTTAAAATAACAGACACTGTGACACTCTCATCCTGAGTTGTTCCTGCACTCCTGTCATCTGTTGTGGATCAGCTAAATTCAACCTAAATAAAACGATACGTCTGACAGTTATTATTATGCTTTGGTTTTATACTAAAGCTAAAAGGGGCAAAATAAGAGATAAATAAGCAATGCGTCTCAGCTGTGGTTAATTACTATAATTTTAAGCTTTGACCAGGCGTCACGGTTGTATGTTAAGTGCCATTTTCACAACAGCCCACCATGAATATTTGACAGAGACAGACACAAGCAACAGTTATAAAACAAGAATAAAGAGATTAGGCACACACTCCAAAGACACACACACACATGCACACGCACACACACACCTCCTTGTATTTTCATCAAAATGATGACTTTGTGTTGACTTCAGTTTATTTTATTAACTCCATTTATGCCCAACCCAGACAGTTTCCCCTAACCCTGATCATTTGTTCCTAACATTAAAAGGACTGCATTCTGCAAAATTGATTTTTTTGAGCTCTTACATCATGTTATAATATTATTCCCTCATCAAAAATAGTCCTGGAGTGTTGTTTTGATTCTCATCATGCATGTTTAAGAAATCATTTGATGTCCCTTGGCAACCATTCAGCTGTTTAAAACGTCTGGTTGGACCTAATGCCACCTTCAAGGCACAGCTCTGTGTCCACGCTTCTGACCTTCTACCTCACAGAACAGCCCTCCCCCACTCAGATCCTTCAGACTAGCCAGAAGCAATTAGCAAACATGTGGTGGAACTGTGCTTCTGATGAGCTCATGATAGAGCTACTTCTCAGTGCAATGCTGGTAAAAATGTTGTTAAAGGGTTAATAGAGGAGCGATTAACCCTTTAGGTTAATCCTTCCTGAAGGTGGAGTTTCAGAAAGAGCAGGAGTTTTTAAAGAGACAGAGAGCCAATTCCAAGGCATTAAATTA